CGCCGCTCACGTCCGTAGACACGGTGTAACATTGGTTTTGCTTTGTTTCACAGAACTAATCGTTGCCTGGGTTGCATACGTATATGTGGGGCGGAGCTATCAAAATAGGGGCAAGACCCTTTTGGGGTAGGGCCGTGTTTGTTTTGGTGATTTCAAATATCAACATTGGCTGCCAGAAATCGCTTACTCTGCCTTTAAGCTTTGAACACAGAAATAAATTACATTTTACAATATATTCACATAAACGGCTATTTTAAATTGCAATAATATTTCATAACATTACTGTCTTTAACTGTATTTTTGCTCAAATAAATGCAGCCTTCGTGAGCATGACAGACGTCTTTAAAACCGCTCACGTCCGTAGACACGGTGTAACATTGGTTTTGCTTTGTTTCACAGAACTAATCGTTGCCTGGGTTGCATACGTATATGTGGGGCGGAGCTATCAAAATAGGGGCAAGACCCTTTTGGGGTAGGGCCGTGTTTGTTTTGGTGATTTCAAATATCAACATTGGCTGCCAGAAATCGCTTACTCTGCCTTTAAGCTTTGAACACAGAAATAAATTACATTTTACAATATATTCACATAAACGGCTATTTTAAATTGTAATAATATTTCATAACATTACTGTCTTTAACTGTATTTTTGCTCAAATAAATGCAGCCTTCGTGAGCATGACAGACGTCTTTAAAAAAAAAAACATTCAAAACAACTTACCAACCACAAACCTTTGTTTGTACATCACAAATGGCACAAACATAACTGTGAACACAAAATGCTGGCGTTTGCTTTAAAAACAGCCCAAAAAATAAGATAATATTATGTACTACATTTATAATTGCATTAAACTGTAGGGTAGTGGAGATGAGGAACAGGTGAATCTTGTCTACTGATAATCATAGCAGTTAAATAAAGGCGGAGCTGCGTAATTAAGAGGCGGATCCCCAGACCACATGACACAAATACTATAACAAAGTGTTTCATTACATTTGATGTATTTTAAACATTGAAACATTTTTTTGCAAGTAAATAATTCTATTACCTAACTTTCTTTTGAAGTTGATAATAGAAATATATTTATGCATTTTAGTTTTACCTGCCTCACATTTGTTCTCGAGGACATCTTAATCGATTTCACTGCCTGTTTTCTTTGTTTGTTTCTGTATTTGTATTTTTGTATTATTGTATTCTGTGTTTCTGTATTCTAGCCTCCTTTGTTGGGTTGTGGTCAGGGGCGACTCGGTGTTCTGGATGAGCCAGTGTCTGTTTCTACAGCAGTGCAGAAAATGAAGACTCACTTGGGTTTGCCCCATTTGAGACTGGCTCTGGGGGACCAGCAGACATTAGGTGGGGTATGAGAGAGTATCCACCTTATTTTTACATTAAGAGCGGACGCAGACATTTTTTAATTGAATGCAAGGCTTCCCGTGTGAGCCGCATAAGATAGGCCATTACACTTGAAAAAAAAAAATTATGTAGGATTTACTTTTCACTCAGAAATTGCTAGTAAATTTCATAAATAATTACAAAGAAATGGCAAGTAACACATTGAATAAATGTGAAATTGAGGTATAAAGACTGAAAATAGTGTTTCCTTGATAAACGTGCTCCAATAATCTGCTTTATTTACAACTTTGAAAAATTATTTTTTAGTTATTTGATATTATAAGCTGGTATTTGTTATTATTTTAATGTATTATCATAATCATTAACTAACTGGTTTGTAGAACAAATAGTTTTTCATCATTTACTAGACTGTTATTGCTCTAGTTATTTACCTACAGCAGCTAACTCATCTGAAGTCTCACACATTCACAGAAAAACAGTCAAACAATCCGAACAGCTGAAACACAGACGTGATGCATGTGTGATTATTGTCACCTGGAAATGACGTCACTAACTGCATTTCTATGATGTTCTAGACTCTCTGGTGAAGACGGTTGCAGTATGTGCAGGGTCTGGAGCTTCTGTCATACAAGGCGTAAAAGCAGACCTTTACATCACTGGTACATCACAAACGCCAAAAAACAAAACAAAACTGACGTTCACCAATTTATTAAAGTCTAAGAATAACACATTTAAGAGTACAAAAAAATGTCGAATTATCCCAAGCTTTTTTTTTGTGATTTTCAGGTGAGATGTCTCATCATGAGGTTCTAGATGCGGTTTCTAAAGGCACGAGTGTGATTCTCAGTGACCACAGCAACAGTGAGAGAGGCTTCCTGGCCGTATTCAAACAGAGACTAAATGCACGACTGGGCGACACGGTTACCGTGGCGATCTCCCAAAGAGACCAGGATCCACTACAGGTGGTCTGATTTCATCCGGTCGCACATTTAGTATTCAGTCAGAGTAGACTGAATATATGAATATGAATATATCATAAAGAATTTTCATCGTCTGACCTTGAAAGGGATAGTTCACCAAAAAAAAAAAGACAATTCTGCCATCATTTACTCACCCTCAAGTTGTACCAAATCTGTATGAATTTCTTTCTGCTGAGCACAAAAAGATATTTTGAAGAATGTTGGTGACCAAATAGTTTCTCCATTGACTTGCATTGTATTTCTTTCCAGGAAGTTAATAGGGACCAGCAACTGTTTGGTTACCTACGTTCTTCAGAATATCATCTTTTGCGTTCAGCATAAGAAAGAAATTCATACAGGTTTGGAACAACTTAAGGGTGAGTAAATTATGACAGAACTTTAATTTTTTGGTAAACTATCCCTGCTGTAAAAGTAACACTGTCCTATAAACAAACAAAATAAACTTTATTATAAAAAAAATTATGCATAAAATTCCATTCACAGTTGTTATTTTAAGGTGTATTTATTTGGTCCTACTTTATATTAGGTATCTTTAACTACTATGTAGTTAAGTCAGAAAGATTAATTGTTAGGTACAGTGTACTTACTGCATTCATGCAATTTTGCAAAACACTTTAGCTGCTGTTGAGGTGGGATACAGGTAAAGTTAAGGCTAGGAGAGTGGTATGGGTAGGTAGGGTCAAAGGTGTAATTGTAGATGTAATTATAGAAATTAATTACAGATGTAATTACATGCAGGTGTTTTTATTAAAAAATACATTTATATATAAGTACAATGTAAAATAATACAATGTATGTACACTAAGTGCATTGTATCACATATTTAATTTAAATGTTAGTACATAGTTTTAATTATCTATGGTAACATTCTATTTTCGATAGTCCACTTTAGACATTCTACTAACTATAACTATAACTACCAGTGTTGGGGAAAGTTACTTTTAAAAGTAATGCATTACAATATTGCATTACTCCGTGAAAAAGTAACTAATTCTATTACTCGGTTACTTTTTATGTAAAGTAATGCATTTACGTTACTTTTGCATTACTTTTTGTCACCTGGGTTGGGCTTGCTTTTTAGTTTTTAAATAACAAAAAATCCAAAAGTTATTTTTGGCAACTTTAAAGGCTCTTTCATATCAAAAGTGAAATTAATAAGCCTCAGGCATGAAGTCCTCTTCCTCTGCATCTCACTGCCAGTTTCTCTCAACACAGGGACAGGAGACGTGTCAGTGAATAAATGGGAAAACAATGTAACTTGCGTTACTTATTTGAAAAAGTAACTCCGATATCTTGTTGTAAATTTAAAAGTAATGCGTTACTTTACTAGTTACTTGAAAAAGTAATCCGATTATGTAACTTGCATTACTTGTAATGTGTTACCCCCAACACTGCTAACTACATATCAAGTACTAGTCCTTAGAGTATTAGTAGACTGTCTGCTTAATATCTGCTAACACTTTATTTTGATGGCCCCCCAAAACGTAACAGTCTACTAATACTTCAGTGAGAGTTAGTTGACATGTAGTTACCTATAGTAGAATGCAATTTACTTATAGTAGAAAGTCTAAAGTGGACTATCAAATTAAAGTGTAACCTTATCTATTGGCAATGCAATGTTTACTGTTCCCTTTGAAATAACTAATAGGTGGAGGTGGAGGGTGTTTTTTGATGTAGTTTGTCAGGAGGGTGGGATAGTCAGACATAACGCCTGTAGCTCCGACTGCAAACGCAGCTTCCATATCGCTCTCCTCATTGCACACGAACAGCTGCACCTGAGATGGCAAAATGAGATGAAATGAATGGTTTTGCTTTGGATTGGAACCGTTTTTACTTTTATACAACTGTGGAAAGTCACATATTCACCTGCAAGCCCCTCTTGATCAAGTGTTCAAACAATGATTTTCGCATTGTCAACCTAAGCATCAATAAACACAGTCAGTCACACATTACAAAACTGAAAAATGAATTGACAGCTCTAAGACGAATGTCACTCACTTCTGAAGTAGATACACCACAAATCTTTTCTTCAGAATGGCTCCTTCTGGAATATAAGTCCTGAGAGATCAGACATAACACTTGGATTAGTATTAGTTAAATGCAATGCAAGTAAATACAGTTAATAAGGTCCCATTAGTTAATGCCTTAAAGGGTTAGTTCACCCAAAAATGAAAATTAGGCTGTTTCAAGCCTCTGACATTCTTCTTTACAAATCCTCCTTTTGTACTTCTAATTAGTGACCGCTGTTTTGTTTTGATCTCTCTCCTGCGCTTCTGTTTATGGATGGGCGCTTTTTATTTCACTTATTTTGGACTGAAGCACTGCAACACCCGCTGACTGCAATGATAGAGCTTGGAATAGCCAGGACAATTTTTAATCTAACTCCGACTGGATTCGTCTGAAAGAAGAAAGTCATATACACCTAGGATGACTTGAGGGTGAGTAAAACAGCCTAATTTTCATTTTTGGGTGAACTAACCCTTTAACTAACATTTACTAACAACAAGCAATAAATCTTTGTGAACGACAAATGTCTTCATTTTTAGTTCATGTTAGCTCAGGGTCATTAAATATGATCAACTTAATACAAATTAGGAAATGCTGAAATGAACAAATAAAGATGAATAAAAGCTTTAGAAGCATTCATGTGAACTGATGTAGTTAACTAATGATAACAAATGTAACCTTATACTACTGCAAAACATGCCTGAAGATTTCAATGCAAACCAACCAAGAACTCTCAGAATGTTTTAAAAAGCTTGTATGGTTATTGAATTTCAATCCTTCTCACTTTTAACTGTACAGGTAGGTTATTGACTGACCTGTTGATAATGCTGGGCAGGTAGAAGAGCAGCAGACTTTCACCCAGAGGAACAAAGGGAAGCAGCCCAGTATAGAAGAGCAATAAAAGCAGTATTCCACGCTTCATAGTGAACATATAGGGCATGGACGCGTTCTACACACAGAGGAAAAAAGGCACATTTCTTTTAAAAGGCTTGGAAATTTTTATTACGACATCAATGATTACTGACCACGTATAGGGACAGTACTGTACCTGCTCATTACATTTAGCCATAACGTCAGACTCTTCAGAAGCCCAAACTGTAAAGCTTTCTCTGTGATATTGCTTCACAAGATTGGAGACCTATAGCAACAAAAAAGTGATACCAAGTTATTCATTTCATTAGGTCCATGTTTGATTTAGACAAGTAGGAGAAGAACTAACTAAATAACATCACTGAAAGAAATGACAACTTGCAGGTAAGGAAGCGAGTCAGATATCTGCTAGCACACGTTCATCACGGAGACGTCTATTTGACATCTGCAAGATGTATTTTTGATCATCTGCAGTCCGTCTATAGGACATTTCCTATTAGATGTCAAATAGGCGTTAAGAAAATGTCTTCAAGATGTATATGATTTAGAATGCATGTAAAACTGATTTCTTAGAGACGTCTATCAGATGTTTGTACACAGCAGATGCTTTCCAGATGAAGCGATCTTTAACAGACATCTTGCAGACGTACCTGTGCTATCTGTTGATTTATTAACTGCGAATCAATGAATGATTCGTCAGACTGATTCAAACAGCTACTCATTCCAGAACAATTCATTAAAAGAACCGGCGTATAAAAGTCTTTCTGAATCTGACAACACTTCTTGCTCTGTGTATTTATTATGTTTAAAAGGCTGTACTGGGAGATAGTGTAATATTAATGATTAAAGCATGCACTTAAAGAGAGTACACTTTCATCTAAATCCACTAGGCAACATTTTTCAAAAGTGCACTTTGTAATAATATCAAATTAAACGTTTTGCTTTAAAGTACATTTTAAATACTTTGGCTTAGTTTCGTTTGTCGTCCATGTGTTGTGTAACATCTTCAATCAATCTTGATTATAATTTTAACTGTGACGTGTTATTCAATAGGCTATTGCAGTGGTTCCCAACCCTGGTCCTGGAGGCACCCCAACACTGCACGTTTTGCATGTCTCCTTAATCAAACACACCTGATTCAGGTCATCAGCTCATTAGTAGAGACTTCAAGACCTGAAATTGGTGTGTCAGAGAAAGGAGACATGCAAAATGTGCAGTGTTGGGGTGC